TCGCTCTGTCCTGGCACACGCTGGGTGCTGCCCGCAGAGCCCCAACACTCGGTGCATCCCATGGCTGATAACGCAGGGCTGACCACAAGGGTGCAGCGAGTGGAGCCGTGCAGATTGCTGCTGCCTGGCGGAGCTGCCAGTTGGAGGCTTGGCAAGAGAAATGTTTGTTTTGTTGGCCAAATATCTCAGCAAACTTCCTGCTTTGCTTGCGGCCAGCCAGGCGGCGATAGGGCTGGTGGGGCCGTTGCTGCTCCTCACTGCGGTGTCGGTGCACGGAGCTGTTATCTCGGATGCGCAGCGGGCAGGGAAGAGGTGGGGAAAGGGAAATGAAATACAACAGAGGTGGCACATTTTTCTCTGGTGATAAGGAGCCCTGCTTTTAGCCTGGGAACCTGGAAACGATGCAGGTGGACAGAGGCCGCAGCAATGCCCACCACTGCTGCAACATCTGGACTTTGTAATGCAACTCAGCGCTGCTGAGTGGCTCTGCTGTGAGCCTGGGGCTACCTATGGTGTGGCACAGCACGGCATGGCATGGCATGGCATGGCACGGCAAGATGCTGCTGTGCTGCCCCAGAGCAGGCTGCACTGGACCAACTCTTCCTATCGATTTTGCAGGGACCTGACTTATTGGAAGCGCAATGCAAACTAATTAAATCCCCATCATTAACAGGCTGCAGCAGTTTGGCAAGCAGAAGTGGGGCTGCGGTGCTGCGGCGGGGCTGAGAGATGGACCTTAAGGCACAGAGAAGCTGCAAGCACGGCCCCAGCAGCTTGGAGGCTCCGTGCACGCAGAGGGATGGTGACACATCCCCGACTCCCAGTGTCTGAGCCGTGCTGCGCTCTTTGGTGCGGGACGATAAGCAGTAGGGCATAGCTTCCATGGGAGCACTCCCAAGCAGCAACGAATCTGTCCAGCCCAGCAGCAGGGGAAGGCAGGCACAGCCAGAGCAGAGCCCCATCCCTAGCAGTGCTGGCGGCAGCCGCTTCCTGCACAGCAGATGTCCCTGCAGCGGATGCAGCTGCGGCGGGCGATAGCCAGGCAGGGCGAGCTGCCGCCTCCAGCCGCTGGCTGCCCACCAGCCCTTATCTCCCCTGTGCCACCCCTGCCCACTCAGCACATGGGAAGAGGGGCTCCAGCCCCAACCGCTCAGGGGAGAGCACTGAGGGCTGCAGAGCAGCTCCTGCAACGTGTCCAGGGATGGATTTAGGGGCTGAGGTTAAAGCCGTCCCCCGCTCCATGCATGCACGCACTGGGGTGGCGGGGCTGTGCACTGCCCAGTGCTGGCTGCATGGTCTGCTCCGTGCTGCAGGGAGGCACCTGGTGATGCTCAGCCCCATGAGGTGTTCAGCCCCTTGGAGGCAGCAGATTGGATGGGGGAACCCAGACGGACAGGCAGACATGCAGGGTGACACCGGAAACCTGAGGGCACAGCTCAGTGCCTTCGCCCCCAGATGAGCCCCAGCATGGGGTGTACAGGGTGACTCAAGGAGTGGGGAGGGGAAGGCGTGAGGAAAGCAGCACTGAGGGCTGTTTTATAAAGCTTGGGGCTTGGGAAAGGATTTGCAGCCTGAAGAGCAATGGGCTCTCACTGTTGGGCTCAGAGATCCCAAAGCTGTGCCACGGGGAACCCTTTGCCTGGGGCAGCTCCTTGGCGACTCCCCAAGCCCTGTGCAGAAGGACATCCCTCTTCCATCCCCACACTGAGCCAGAAATGATGCGTTCTGGTGCCACCATCACCTATGCTTGGGACCACTGGAGCACTGCTGCAGGGATGATGCTCAGTGGTGGGAGATGCCATCTCCCCAAACAAAGAGACAATGTGTGCACGCTGAGCCATCAATTAGCACTGACACAACAGACACAAAGCCTCAAAGTCGTTATAGAAGGTTCCAGCCCCCCTGGGATCCCATGAGGGCAGTGGGGCCCATCCTGCCCAGCCCCAGATTTGCAGGGGAAGGATTCCAGTGCTGTGCTGGGACAGATCCTGGCTATCATCCCCTTGCAGGAGCTTATCTGTCAGCTCGGCTGCTCACTGTGCTGCTCTCCCATTGCTGCAGAGCTTGGGGGGAAGGGTGGCTGTGTTGTCCCCATGCACTGACCCATGGGATCCACACGTGGCCTTGGCAGTGCTGGGCTGTGGGGGGGCTCGGGGGGGCACGAAGGGGTTAACCCGGGGAAGTTTGCTCCCTCTCAGCCGTGATTTAAACCAGACCGAAAGGTTCTGTCATCCATCACACTAACAGCCAGATCGTTGTGTTTTAAAGTGTCTGTAATTGCAGCGATGCTGAGAGCGGGAGGGAGATAAAGGCTGGGGAGATGCAGGTGGGGGGGCACAGGGCTGGGAGCGCTGCCCCAACTGGGTGGGGATGCTGCATCCCGGTGGGTGCTGCCACATATGAGAGCATCCACCAACAGCACAGACCCACCCATTATGGGTGCAGGGTTTGGGGCAAACCCCAAAGGTTTTATGCTCCAAATATTGCCTTTATCTCATGGCATCACCGCTGCCCCCTCCCCATGTGCTGGGGGGGACAGCAAGTGACATCCCTCCCTGGTGAGGAGGTGGCCGTGGTCCCTCTGTCCCAGCAACTGGGGCCACGTGCCGGCACGCCGACAGGGCATTATTAACATTCAGCCGAAGCCCTCGGAATGAAGCGGGCTGACACAAATGTTTATTTTCGCAGTGGTGAATTATGACTTCAATAGACCCAAATTACAGGGCTGTGTGTGCCGAATGGAAACACAGCGGCCTCTGGCACCCAAACGGCACCGGGTGGCACATGAACCAGGAATTGGGAAGGTGGGGGCTCTGCCCAGCAAGGGACGGGGGGGGGCTGGGACAGTGCAGGGCGGGCTGTGCTCATGGGTGTCACCACGCAGGCACTTACCTGTGGGTTTTACAGCAAATCCAGCAGCTTGCAGAGCATCCCCATGGCCTGCTCCCTGCTCTCCCGATGCAAAGAGCAGTGGTGGAAACCAGAGCATCACTAGGGAGCGCTTTAAGAATTGCTGGGTGCTCTGCCATGCGTGCACCATGTGCCCGAATGCACCCACACTGCTGCATTTGCATGTGCCAGACTGGGCTGCTGCTGCTGCTGCAGCACTGCGGGGCTGTGCTGCTCAGCCCCAGGTGTCCTGGGGAAGCCCAGTGCTGGGAGCTGCAGTGTGAGGGTGGGCAGAAGGGCAACGCAAACAGGATTGCTGCATGCAGGGTACACAGCAGCAGGAGCCTGAGGGGAGAAGGATGCTGCCCAGGCTGGCTTGAGGGGCCGGGATGTCCCAACTTACAACTCGATGTGGTGCAGTGGGAGCTCGGCACGCAGCAGCGGTCATCTGGTGGCCGTGCAGAGGTCATTTAGTGGCCACGCAATGGTCATTTAGTGGCCGTGCAATGGTTGCAGAGTGGCTGCGTGACAGCTGTGCTGTGGCCACACCACGAGCATGCAATGTCCAGGGCAGTGTCTGTGCAGCAGCTGTGCAGCTGTCCCACAGCGTCGGTGCCACACAGCACTGGGCAGCAGTTGTGCAGTGCTGGTGATGCTCTGCCTGGCAGCACTGCCACCATCCTCAGTGGCCGTGATGTGGGAAGAGGCAAGAATGACTGATGCAAGAAGCATACAGGCACTGCACGCAGCAACTTGCAGAGGGAGGCAGCTGCCAAGCAGAGCGATTACGCAAAGAGGCAGGGCTTCACTCGCAGGGAAATTAGCAGGGCTTGCTTTACCCGCTGCACAAGCCAGCAACAACATTGTAGTAGGACTTGGGGAGGGGTGGACACCCTTAATGTTGCCCCCCACTGCAGGCACAGGGCACGCAGCAGCGCCCAGTCATGCAGGAAGGCAGTGCTGAGCACTGAGGTGGGCAAGGAGCCCCATAATCTCCTTATGTGCGTGGCTGGCCCCAGGGAGCCTGGCCAAAGAGGTGTGGGGTGGTGGCACCCCATGGCCAGGCGGGAGTGGGTGCGTGGGTTGGGGCTGCACAGATGTTGTGGCTGTGTGTGTGGTGGCTCCCACTGCAACCCCTGGGGCAGCAGGGGAAGGAAGCAAAGCAACCCCAACCCCAGCCCCTCGCAGCCCCCAGCCCTTGCATGCCCCTTGCCAGCCTCCAGCCCCATGCAGACATCTCCCATCGCCACGCAAACCCTCACCCCAGCCCCCTGCATCCTCCCAGTACACATGCAGCCCCCAGCGCACACCTTCCCCCCCTGCTCCATAAAACCCTGAACCTTTTGCAGACTCCAGCTCTCTGCAGTCTGGAGGTTGAGAGGGGAAAGAGGGAAGACTCCTAATCCCGGGCAACCCACCCGCCTCTAAGCAAGATCCCCGGCCTTGTGCAACCCCGCGGGTTCCGCGCACCCTATGCAGCCCCCCGGCCCCTCGCACCCCTCGCACCCCTGTGCAAACCCCCGGCCCGTGCACCCCGCGCATCCCTCCGCTGCCGCGATCCCCTCCACCTTCGCGCCCCCCCCCTCCCGGATCCCCCCCCGCACCCCCCGCAGTCCCCGTTCGGGCGGCGGTGGCGGTGCCGGCGTGGGGCGCCCCCTAGCGGCGGCGGCGGCGGCGACGCCGGCTGTAAGGCAGCGGCGCGGGCGGGCGGCGCTCACTCCGGGGCGGGCGGCGGCGGCTGCGGGCGCTGCGGGCGGCCCATCCCCGCACGGGAGCGCGGCCGCGGGACCCCGTGGCCGCTGCACGGCGCCGGGGGATGGGCCGGAGGGCAGAGCGCAGGGGGCGAAGGGCCCCGAGGATTTGAGCGGTTTTCTCCGCTCCCCGACCGGCGTTCTTCCCGCCGTCCGTCCGTCCCCCCCCGCCGGGGGCAGCGCCCCGACCCCCGGGCTGGCGGCTCCCGGCGGTTCCGGGCGCGGGGGGCAGGTGCCGGGGGGAGCCGCCGCCGTCTCGGGGCCGCGCTCCGCCCGCCTCGGCCTTAACGGGGCCGCGGGGCCGCCGCCGGTTCTCCCCGCGGTCTCCGCCTCGGGACGTACCTCCTCGGGACGGTGAGTGCCGGGGAGCGGGGCGGGGGTCGGGGCCGTTCCCGGTGCGCGGGGTTTGTGTTGCCGTCGGTGCCGCGGAGCGCTCCCGGAGCGCGGCATTCGGGATCGCTGCCGATCTTGGAGAAGCCCCCGGTGCGCGGGGGGACGGGAACGCCGGCGGCGCGGTGCCCGGTGCGGTTCCTCGCCCTGCGGAGCCGCGTCCGTGCGCTGCGGGGCTGCGGGGCGCTCCCTCGGGGCGGGGCGCGGTGCGGGGACCGCTGCTCGGCCGGCGTCTGCGTTCCGCTCCCGTCGTTCGGCTGCGGGCAGAGCGCAGCCGTGAGCCCCGCACCGCCCCGAGCTGCCCGCACGGCTGCGGGAGGCGTTGCTGCAAAACTCGGCGGGCGCGGAGCTCTGCGCCCCGCCGGTGGATTTGGCCGCAGGAGGTGCTCGGGGCGCGGGGTGGCACCGGCGGACGGCCGCCCCGCACCGCCCCGCACCGCTCTGACCCCGCGGCTCCGCACCGCTTCTACGCGCCTTTCGCTGCGGGTTTTGGGTTTGGTTTTTTTTTTCGCTCTTAGCCGAGGGAAAAAAGAAAAAAAAACAACTTTGCAACTTCCCTTCGGTGTCACGGAGCCGCCGCCGCTTCATTTTGTTTTCTTAATTTGGGGTCACGTGCGCCTTGACAGTGCCTTTGAATCTGAGCGATGGTTTCGTCTCCAGCTCAGAAGGAGCTCCGGAGCTCTTCCCTCCGTTGTTTTCCCTCTGTTCGGGAACAAAGAGAGATTTTTTTTTCTTTTTTTTCCCTTTTCCTCCACCTTTAACTCAAAGGAATCTCAATTCCCCGCTCCTTTGTCGAGCGACTCGAGGACCGACCGCCGCCGTTCCGCTCCGGGCGCAGAGATGCTGCGGAGCCGTCCGGGAATCGCACAGCGGGCACAGAGCAGCAGCGGGGGGCAGCGCTGAGAGCCCCGGCAGCCGCAGCCCCGCTGTGCCACTCGGGTGAGGATCCGCACCTCCACAGCCCCGGCTTTGGGGGCCGCGTCGGTTTGGCTTGAGCGGAGCGCTGGGGCTGCGTTTCCCTCCGTTTCCGTGACGGGGGAGGCGATGGGGGGCACGTTCTGTTTTGTCAGTGTGCACATAGGGAGGAGGAGGCGGAATGTTTTCCTATGGGGCTGGGTGCTGCCGTGGGGCTGGGTGCCGGTGTGCGGTGCGGTGAGGCCTCGTGTGGGTGCAGGGTTTGATTTGTTGAGGAGTTTGAGGGTGGAGGATGCAAAAATGCACCGGTGCTGTGCTTGGCCCCGGTGCTGCGTGCGGTGCGAGGGTCGGGGGCTCGGGGCACTGGCAGCCCAGCGTGTGCTGTGCTGTGCTGTGTGCACCCTTCTTGCCTTCACTGTGACAACGAGTGGTCGGCTCCACTCAGCTCACGCTCAGAGCCCCACAGGGATGCGCTGGGTGCTGTAGGACCCCAGGAGGAGAGGAGCCCATGGCACAAGGGGGGCACTGATTCAGCCCCTGGCTGGACGGGTGCAGCTGTGGCACAAGCACGGTTTTGAGCAGCTCAGGGCCTGATCCTGCAGGCAGCACTGGGAGCTCGGTGCAGAACTGGAGTGTCCGCAGCGCTGGGATGGAGGCTGAGCTGGCGGTGCTGCCCCTGCCCGGGTCTGGGCTTATTTTTGGATTTCCTGGTGCTTGTTTGCTGCCTCCCCTCCCAGCCCTCTCGGCCTCCCCAGGGGCAGCCCCACCTTGACGAGCCCGCAGCTTCCCTTCGGAAGATGCTGACCAACGTTTCCAGAAAGCATCCAAAGGATTTCCTGTTTATTTTGCAAAATTCTCATTAATATTTTTCTTTTTTTCCTGCCTTTATTGCATTAAATCTTGCACGGGTGAAATTGCCTTGAGATGGAGCCTGCGGTTAAAGAGAGACAAAGAGTTGGAGACGCAGCAGCCTGGAGGCTGTGGGGGTGCTTTGCTGGACCCCCCCGGAGCCGTCCTCATCCCAGTGCTTGTAGGGCCACGTGTGCCACTTGTAGGGACAAGACCACCCTTGGACACTGCAGAAAAGATGGCACAGAGCGTTTTAACCTGAGGCTGATACTATGACCCCACCGTGTGCCAATCCCCGTGGCACAGGGACGTGGTCATTGCACGGGGATGTGGCTCTGTGGTGGTGCCCAGACCCCTGGCACTGGAATATGGCCGTTGCATGGGGACGTGGCCCCATAGTGCGTCTGTGGTCATCGTATGGGGATTTGGCCCTGCAGCGTGCCAGTATCCACTGCACAGAGACATGGCCATGGCATGGGGATGTGGCCCCATGATGTGCCCATACCCACTGCACGGGGAGGTGGCCCTTTGATGTGCCCTTACCCATGGCGCTGGGATATGGGCACGGCACAGGGATGTGGTTTGCAGCCGTGGAGACCTCCAGTCTGAGCAACGCTTTGCAGAGCTCAGCCCCACACGTGCCCACGCTGGTGCTGTTTGCTCGCGGTGTTTAGAGAGTCTATTTAAATCCCAGGTGCACAGACAGCTGGGGAACGGCACGGGGTGGGGGTGCCACGTCCTCCTACAAACTGCTGGTGGTGGGGCACAGCTCTGGGCGGTGGGGCAGAGTCCGTCCCGTGCTTCCCCAGCACTGGATGGGTCGGGTTCACAGCTGGAGAAGCACGGGGACACGGGACCCCGCTCGGTCCCACGCTGAGTCACGCGCTCCGGCGCTCAGTCCCGAGACGCTTTTCCAGGCAAAGGCTGAAACGCACAAAATGTTCGACTTGTAAAATATGTAGCGTGAGAAAATAGCCTTTTCTGCTCTCCTCCTCGCCGCCGCCGCTCCCCCTGCCCCATCTGCTCGCTTGGAACGCCGCCCGAAGCCCGGGGGGGGGCCGCGAGAGCGATGCAGCTGACGGCACGGGGGTCACCCGGTGATCAGCGCCGCGCTGGGGAGCGGTGCCACCCCGCATCCATCACAGGGCGCGCCGCCGCTGCGTCGGGTCCGAGGGGATGATGCACGGGGAAAGCATCCTCCTTCCTCCCTGCCTGCGTCTGCTGGCGTCTCTCCCCACTCTGGGTGCGTTGCGGGGGGATGCGGCCGTTCCCAGGGTATGGGGGGAGGAGGGTTTGGAGCCGGGCGTCACGGGGAGGCCATGGGAAATACCCTACGAGGAACCCGGGAGGGAGCCGAAATCCCCGGAGCTGGCGACGAGCCATTGTTTTCACCAGCCACCTTAATCCATCATTATCTGGGCATATTTCGGATCCTTGCCAAGAGCAAGGTGGGAAGGGGGGGCTGCGAGCATGCTTTCCCTATTCCCCTGCCATCCTTTTTGCTGCCTGTGTGTAATTAACAGAGTAATTAAAAACAGGATGAGTTAATTGGTATTCATTTATGTGGCAGATGTTTTTAATTGAGATACGAAACAATTTACCTGTTTACATAAACAATAGCAAATGAAGGCTTGTAAAACAGAGAGGGCTTTTTCTTGTGGGGTTGGGGCTTTTTTTCTTTTTTTTTTTTTTTTCTTTTTTTTTTTTAAGGAAAATCAGAATGCCCTCCTTCCCTCCATCCCTCCTTCCCTCTCTCACTGCGCTGGCTGGGAGCTGTGTTTGGGTTGGATTGGTTTGGGTTTCAAAGAGAAGTGCCCAGGGATTGTGGGCACCCCGTGGTGCTGGTCTGGTGCAGCCAGGCTGGGAGCTGCCATGGGGGCACCTCACTTTCAATCTGCCAGCCCAGAGGTGTGCATCCACACCCTGCCACTGTTCTGGGATCCCATTGCATCTCTGCAAAACCCTTTTGGATGTGGGATTAGCTCTTTGGTCAGCAGCATCCTTCCAGCACCATGATGTCCTCACTGGTGGTCACGGGTGGGACTTTTCCCCATGCTTGGGCTGTGTTCTAGAGCTGATGGCAGCACTGGGGAAGGTTTGGCTTGGTGAGCATCCCTGTGAGTATCTCCACGAGCATCCCAATCAGCATTCCCATGAGCATCCCCATGGACATCCCCATGAGCATCCCTATGGGCATCCCAACGAGCATCCCCATAGCCCGTGACCCCAGCTGCTCCCTGAGGTGCTCCCCGGGATGGGATACTCAGCACCCCCATAGCCATTTTCTGCACCAGGAAGGCAGCAGGGTGGCTGTGCCCCCACGTCCCCACGTGCATTCCCCCGACCCCTGCCTGCTCGCACACGTGGAGCTGCCGCCGGCTCAGCGCTGCCCTAACGCACTCCAGATGGAGCAGCTCCGGCCCTCGCAGTCCTATCTGGGAGTTGTTCTTGGCCCCCGTGGCACCAGCAGCTGAGCAGCAGGAATGCTTTCCTTTGTTTGGGAGGCAGCCTGGCTTCGGGAGACGTCGCCTCCAGCATCTGGATTTCATTTGTGGCCATTTGGAGAGCATGAAAGATGCTGTTCTTTTAATTCCCTTTTAACCCCTTCATCGCCGACAGCTCTCTGGACCAGCTCCGTGCCGGGGGATGCAGAGGGGGTGCAACCACCCCGTGTGCTGTGCAGCCCCTGTAGGTACGGCCCTGCTGTCCTTGTCCCCAGCTGCCCCATTGAGCAGAGGGACAGCTGCATTGCATGATGCTTGCAGTGGTGGCACAGCCATCACCCAGTGGGGACCGTGCCCAGCCCAGCGTGCTGGGGGTTAAACCCTGCGGTGTGACAAATGGGGTTTGGGGGCACGGGGGTCCGGCATCCCATTCCCAGGGGGGAGGCAGGGTGGGGTGCGGCGGCGGAGAAAAGACTAATCCTTTTATTTTTATATTATTACTTATTCATCTGGGCTGCGCTGAGCCTAATGGAAACCAGATGTAGGAAAACAGACACAGCCCCAAGCGGCTGGGACAAATTACCCCAAAGGAAAAAAAAAAAAAAAAAAAAAAAAAAGAAGAAGAAAAAAGAAAAGAAAAAAGAATAATAAAATGGGGAAAAAAATTCCAGCGGAGGTTTAGTGGTGCTGGGGAAGCACTACCACGTTTGGGGACAGAGTGTGAGCACCGCCTGGTGACCCCTGGGAGGGCCAGAGGGACACGTGGCATGCTGCGGGATGCTGTCACTGGGGGGACACTGGGGGGCAAAGGTTGGGGTGTGCAGAGGGAGAGGCAGCGTCCTGCCTTCACCCTGTGGGGACAGTGCCACCCAGCATTGCTTTGGGCATTTCTGGGCTCCAGTGCTGAGAAATGCCACATTCTGGGGCCGTCTCTTACTCCCGTGCTCACGCGGTGGTGTTTGGACTGCGAACACAGCAGGAAAAATTTATGGCTTGGAGAGGAGGGGGAAGAAAAGGAAAGAAATCACACGCCCAGATGCAGCGGTTCCGCGGGTGTTTGTTCAGCTTCGTGGAAACTCTCCTCCCGGTGGGGAGTGTGGAACAGCCGTGTTGGCGCCGCGATTCTCCGGCGTGGAGACAGGGCTGGATGGGGACAGGGCTGAATGGCCACCCCGTGCCAGACGAGTGTTGCTGGGCTCGGTGCCATCTCCAGGGCCGCCCCCTGAGCCCCTCATCTCACCCCGTTTGCCCTCGGGGCTGGGTGCCGCTCTGCTGTCCAGATGCACCACACGTCCGTGCATCGTCCCACCGCCCCGCACAGTGCGCGAGGTGCCGTGCCCCACGCTCCCACCCCGCTTTGGGGCCTGGAGACACCCCAGAAAGACCCGTGGTCCCCGTTGTGCCGTACCCACCCAGGTGCCGCTCACCACCCGCCCTGTCCCCGCAGACCCCGCCGCACCACGGGCCGCCACCATGCCCGACTCGCCGGCCGACGTCAAGACGCAGCCCAGGTCCACGCCGCCCAACATGCCGCCGCCGCCGCCCGCCGTCACGCAGGGAGCCACGCGTCACCCCTCCTTCACACCCAGCACCAGTGAGTATGGGGACGGGGATGGGGATGGGGATGGGGATGGGTGGCAAAGTTGGGCTTGCACCGTGTTGGGGGTGTGCGGTGTCCTCGTGCCGTCTGTGTGCCACAGTAGGGATTGAGGTGCTGTGCGCTCTGCTCATTCCTGGAGAGATGCTTGGGGATGGGGATGTCCAGGTCTCACTCCTGCCATGTGGTCACCAAATAGGAGCAGCACCGGTGCAGCCCTGGGTGCAGAACTGCTGCAGGGTGCTGGGACAGTGTCACGGCCCCACGTGGTGGGGGTCCTCCTGCCTGTGTCCGGATCACAGCGTGTTGCCATCAGGGTCTCTGTAGCTGGGGGGAGCCCTGGCTGCACCAGTGCTCTGTGCACTCACCGTGTGCCTGCAGGACTCACACTCAGGTTGGTCCCAACACCAGTGGTGCAGCCCTGGGATACAGATGGGCAGCATCAGGGTTGCTGTGGCTTGCTGAGGTCTCTCTCTAAGCACATGCATTCCTGTATCTCCTTGCATAGAAACCCCATCAGGGATGAAACGGACCCAAAATGACACCCCAACCCCAGCCCTGCTCCCAGCCAGATGTCCTCTAATTAGAAATCGGATTGTGCCCGTCTGTGCTCTGATGGGTTTTGCTTTTTAATCCCAGCCCTTCCACAGGGGCCGGCCGTGGGCATCTCCATCCCATTGGTATGGGTGCCCTGCCACCATCCTGACCCTGCTTTGGGGCAGCGTTTTGACTTGTTCTCACCCTCATGGAAGTTTTGCCAGGGACCCAATGGGGCAGTGGAGCACCCGCTGAGCTCCAATGGGACACACAGAGCTGTGCCCGTGGTGCTGTGCACAAACCAGGCCCCCCCCCGGGCTGAGAGCTGTCCCTCTGCTCTCTCATCACAGCGTGTTTTATTTTGCTTGCAGATCGAGACGCTGTCCCTCCGACGTTTCTTCCTCGCGGCCGTTTTCATGGTTGCTTGAAATGGTCGATGGTCTGTCTCTGTAAGTAAAGTGAAGCACACGCTCTCATGAGAGACCTGAGATGCAGCACTACCCCCAGCCCTTCTCCTTGCCCCCATCCCAAAGATGCACACCCCATCCCCATGCTGCCCAAGGGACATGTGTGGCAGCTAACTTAGGAACGCACCTGTCACGGGAATAAAAGCAGTTGTGGCCACAGGGTTATTTTAGGCCCCTCTTTAGTGTGGCACAGCACCACAAGGTCAGTGCATGCGTGGGGCATGGCCGTGCTGCCCGGCGCTGCGGGATGTGAGCAAGGCACTGGGTGCTGCCCCCAGCCCAGTGCTCTGTGCCCCAAAGGGACCCCAGCCCATGGTACCCACAGGATGCTCGGGGCTCACCATCCCTGACTGCTCCTCTCCTCTCCTCTCCTCTCCTCTCCTCTCCTCTCCTCTCCTCTCCTCTCCTCTCCTCTCCTCTCCTCTCCTCTCGCAGTGATGAACGGCAGCAGCCACTCGCCCACCGCCATCAATGGGGCCCCGTCCACCCCCAATGGGTTCAGCAATGGGCCGGCCACCTCCTCCAGCGCCTCGCTGTCCACCCACCAGCTCCCACCAGCCTGTGGAGCCCGGCAGCTCAGCAAACTCAAGCGGTTCCTCACCACCCTGCAGCAGTTTGGCAATGACATCTCGCCTGAGATTGGGGAGCGGGTGCGCACCCTCGTCCTGGGGCTTGTGGTACGTCCGTGGGGAGCAGCGGGGGCTGCCCCATCCCTGTGTCTGTCTGGGATGGAGATGATGGGTGGAGATGATGCTCAATTTTTAGTGTTAGGTTAGATGTTAGGAGACACAGCCTGAAAAGAGAGGTTGCTGGTGCCCCATGCTTGGAAGAGCCCAAGGCCAGCTTGGATGGGACTTTGGGCATCCTGATCTAGTGGGTGCAACTGCAGGGAGCTGGAACTGGATGGGCTCTGAGGTCCCATCCAACCCAACACAACCCAACCTGTTCTATCATTCTATGGGTCTGTGATCTTTAAGATCCCTTCCAACCCAACTGTTACGGCTGTGTGACCTTCTTGGTCTTTTCCAACCCAACTCAACACATTCTATCATTCTGTGGCTCTGTGGTCTTTAAGGTCCTTCCAACTGTACCCTTTCCATGGCTTTATGATCTTTAAGGACCCTTCCAAACCAACCATTCCATGGCTCTATGATCTTTAAGGACCCTTCCCATTCAAACCAACCCATTCTATGGTTCTGTGATTCTACGATGTGGTTAAATGGCAAGAAGGAGCCCCTTGGTGCTGCAGTGCCTTAAGTTCTGGATAAACGGAGGCACCTCACAGGGTCAGCAGAGCAGAGAGTTCCCCTGGAGCAGCACAGGGGGCACAGGGCTGGGGCTGAGTGGGTGCTGTCCCCACAGAACTCCACGCTGACCATCGAGGAGTTCCACGCCAAGCTGCAGGAGGCCACCAACTTCCCACTGCGGCCCTTTGTCATCCCCTTCCTGAAGGTGGGTGCCCCGTGTGTCCCTCCCATGGGTTTGTCCGCAGTAACGCGCGGGGCGAGGGCTGCTTACAAACCATTTGCAATTCATTAAAAAATCCTCTTTTTGGACATTTTCTTTCATTATTTTATTTTTCCGCTGCGGGGGGATTTGCCCACCGCTGCCATTCCTGGCAGATGTTCTGGCCCTGTAAGCTGGGAAATGCTGAATCCATGCCCTCTTCCCACTTGTGCGTCCTTTGCTGCCCCACAAGGAGCTGCACGGGGCTGGCTGGGGGGGACAGCAGAGCATCCCCAAGGTCAGCACCCTGCTCCCAGCTGCTCCCACCCTGGGCTCCAGCTGCTTCCCATTACCCTAAGTGCAAGCAGCCGGGCGCGGCGTGCTTCCCAGACTCTGGATTTTTTGGTTGGTTGGTTGTTTTTTTTTCGGGATTGTTCCCCCAGCCAGGGAAAAGGGCGGTGTGCGTCTCTGCCTCGCGCTAACGTGTCGGACAGATGGGGGTTTGGCTGCAGATCAGCTGCCTGAAGAGAAAAGCAGAGCTGGCAGCCGGAGCACCTGGCTTACATGTGTTCCTGCTGCTCCGCCGCCGCTGCTCTGAGAGCTATGAGGATGGGGGTGGCTGCTTTTGGGGCAGCTTTTGGGGCACCACGATGGGGTCTGGACTCTTGCTCCCCACCCTCTCCCTCCAGGCTAATCTGCCCCTGCTGCAGCGTGAGCTGCTGCACTGTGCCCGCATGGCCAAGCAGAGCCCGGCGCAGTACCTGGCACAGCACGAGCAGCTGCTGCTGGATGCCAATGCCTCCTCACCCATCGACTCCTCCGAGCTGCTCCTGGAGGTCAGCGAGAGTGGCAAGAGGAGGACACCAGACAGGTGAGGATGTGGTTTGTAGGGATATATCCGTATCGCCCCAATGGGTGGCACACGGTCAGGGGTGCCAAAGGGTTCACGGTTCTGGATGACGTAGTTTGGGATAGGGTGTGTGGTTTGGGATGGAGGTGCATAGATTGGGGTCTGGTGCTCAGTCCAGAGTGAGGTTGCAGGATTTGCATGTGCTGCATGGTCCAGAATGTGGGTGTGGGATCTGAGAGGTGGAGCAGAGCCCAGAGTGGAGATGTGCAGTCAGGGATGGGGTGCGTGTCCAGATCTGGTGCGCAGTCTGAGATGAGGATGTGCAGTCTGAGATGTGGGATGTGTTCTGGGATGTGACGCGTGGTCCAGGATACAGCGCACAGTCTGCAGTGGGGTGCATGGCCTGAGAAGGGCTGTGGTGTGGTTTGCAGGCCAGGATGGTAGGGGGAACAAGTGCAGTGTGGGGTGGCACGTAGTCAGGGATGCGAAATGGGTACCCGTGCGTAGGGCTGTGCACAGATGCTTGGAGACCCCATGGGAACCAACATCCTCTCCCCCTTCACCCCCAGGACCAAAGAGAACGGTTTGGACCGCGACCCCCTGCACCCCGAGCACCTCAGCAAGCGGCCGTGCACCATGAGCCCGGCGCAGCGCTACAGCCCCAGCAACGGGCTGAGCCACCCCCCCAACGGGCTGCCCCACCCCCCCGGCCCCCCGCCCCAGCACTACCGCCTGGAGGACATGGCCATGGCACACCACTACCGCGACGCCTACCGCCACGCCGACCCCCGCGAGCGCCCACGGCCCGGTGAGCTCAGCTCCCTGCTTTCGGTGGATTGGGCACAGTGTGGGGCTGGGAGGGATGCAGAGCTGACTCCCTCCCTTCTCCCCTCCCACCCCATGCTTGGTTTGCAGCAGTGCACGGGGCGCGCCAGGAGGAGGTGATCGACCACCGGCTCACCGACAGGGAATGGGCAGAGGAGTGGAAGCACCTCAACAACGTACGTAGAGCCCCCTGCCCGCCCCCAGCTCCCACACTGTCCCCCCTATGGGCTTTTTCCCCGAGCATCTTTTGCTCCCGTGGCCCAAATCCCACCCCTGCAACCCAGCATCGCAGCCCCCCAGCCCTGCTGTTTCCCCCCCCCCGCAGCTGCTAAACTGCATCATGGACATGGTGGAGAAGACGCGGCGGTCGCTGACGGTGCTGCGGCGGTGCCAGGAGGCCGACCGTGAGGAGCTCAACCACTGGATCCGCCGCTACAGCGACGCCGAGGACATGAAGAAAGGCAGCCCCCCCTCCGCCCGCCCCCACAACAGCTCCTCCAGCTCCGAGGCACCCCAGTTAGGTATTGGCCTGGGGGGCTGCACCCTCACCGGGATGCTCGTGGCCGTTCCCCCAGCACCGGGTTGGGACGGAGGGGGTGGCTGCTGTTAACGTGTCCCCTCCTGACGTTACTCCTTTGTAGATGTGCACCGGGATTTTGCACCGCGGCCGCTCTCAGGTTACATGCCTGAGGAGATCTGGAGGAAGGCTGGTGAGTGTGGTCCCCCTGCATCCCCTCCTCGTACCCATGGGGCTGGAGGGAGCCGGGAGCCCCCCAGGTGCCCACCCACCCTGCCACGCTGCCCACCTCCCTTCCAGAAGAAGCCGTGAACGAGGTGAAGCGGCAGGCCATGTCCGAGCTGCAGAAAGCTGTGTCGGATGCTGAGCGCAAAGCCCACGAGCTGATCACCACTGAGCGCGCCAAGATGGAGCGGGCGCTGGCTGAGGCCAAGCGGCAGGCATCCGAGGATGCCCTCACAGTCATCAACCAGCAGGAGGACTCCAGTGAGGTGGGATGGGATGCGATGTGGGACCCACCTCTGTGCGTGCTTATGGCATCCCGGGGTGGTGGCAGCAATGCTGTCAGGATGGGAAGAAAAGGGGATTTTGGGAGAAGGGGGCACAGTCTGAGGTCGGGGCGTGTGATCCTATATGATGGTGTGCAGTGCAGACCGTGGGGGTGCAAAGCAGGAGATGGGATGCAGAATCCAGGATAGGATGTGTGGTCTGGGATGGTGTGAATGGTCCAGAACGGATGCATGATACAGAGGGGGTGCACAGGAATGGGATGGGAGTCCAGGAATGGGATGATGCATGGTCCAGGATCAGGGAGCACAGTTGGATGGGGTGTGTGGTCCAGGATAGGGTGCTTAGTCCGAGGTGAGGATGCATGGTCAAGAGTGGGGGTGCATGGTCCAGGGTGGGCTGTATGTCTGGGATGAGGGCCCTCAATCTGGTGGAGCATTCATAGTCCAGAAAGGAGTGTATGGTTTGGGATGTGGTGCGTGATGCAGGACCAGGGAACAGGCTGCAGGATGGAGTGCATGAGCTGAGATGAGGTGCATGGTCCAAGACCATGGGAATACAGTCAGGGATGGGGTATGTGGTCCAGGATGGAGTGTGCAGTCTGAGATGAGGTTGCACAGTCCAGAATGGTGGTGCACGCTTTGGGATGGGGTCCAGGAATAGGGTTCGTGGTCCAGGATGAGGTGTGTGGCATAGGACTTGGTGCACAGTTCGGAAGGAGGTTGTGTGAATTGGGGTGAGGAGCACAGTCCAGAACGGAGACGCGCAGTCGGCGTTGGGGTGCATGGTCCAGGAATGCAGCGCACAGTGCAGGACCAGGGAGCACAGCCTGGGATGGGCACGTGGTCTGGGCTGGGTTGGCCGCCCCCCATCCCCCAGCACTGAGTTTTGCCACCGCTGTCCCCTCAGAGCTGCTGGAACTGCGGGCGCAAAGCGAGCGAGACCTGCAGCGGCTGCAACACCGCCCGCTACTGCGGCTCCTTCTGCCAGCACAAGGATTGGGAGAAGCACCACCACGTCTGCGGGCAGACTCTGCAGGGGCTGCCGGCCCCCTCCGCCCCTACAGCCGTGGGGCAGCCCGAGGCGGTGCCCCCCATGGCCAGCAGCCCCAGCGACGCGGGTTCAGCTGGCGCATCTCGTGCCGGCACGCCGGGCACCCCGGCCCCACTGGAGAGTGCATCGCGCTGAGCGCGGACTGACGCCCATGGCAGCTCTCTGCTCCCATACTGGGTGACCTCCGAACCGACCTCGAGCTCTCAGATAATCCTCACGGATCCTCAAACTGGGCTTTACGTGGAGTTAAGGCAAATACCCATCGTTCTCTGTTCTCTCTTCGGTCTTTGTTTTTTTGGCTTTTTTTTTTTTTTTT